CGTATTTCCTCAAATAGTACGGCCGGCCGTACTATTTTTCAACCCTCTTCCAAAGGGCCGTACTATTTGAGGGGGCCGTACTAATTGAGGGGGCCGTACTATATTTCAACCATCCTTCGAAATTATCTGAGATCTCCAACAAGCCTTATCTCAGTTTTTAATTTGTAATCTTTGCAATTCGATTAAATTTAACCCTCTTTAATCTTCTTCCGTTCTCTATTCCTATACCAAAATATCCCAGAATCCAGACTTATGCACTTAGTTGTTATGAATTATCAATGGATTTGATGAGATTTAGGAGAGATATCGTGGAATTTCCCTGAGATCCATCCAAATCCTCGGATATTTCTTCTAATCCCGCTTAATCCATCAAATTCCCTCGATATCCTTCCAAAACACTGATATGGATTAAGAGAAATTTAGGTGAATTAAGAGTGATTTGAGTGGATATCCGAAGATTTAATTGAATATCTGAAATATTCAAGGATTTGGACGAATATTAGGATATCTGGGGTATTCGATATTTATAGGAATTATGAAGGATTTCTTGTGGGAAAGTAGATTTGAATCTTAAAAGTTCAAAATATGACCGAATTATAAAAAATCCAATAGAGTCACTTTTTTGTATGGTTGACCCAGTTAGGACCCAGAGATGTAGGACCCAGAGTGGCGTCTCAGATATAGCCACTGTACTCAGTATATCAACGTTCATGTGTATATATAATATTGAAACATGGGGAATTGTGAAACTGGTGGAATATTGAAGCTGGGGGAATGAAGGGGCATTGTGAAGCAGGCGGAATATTGACAAGATCCGTATATTGCTGTTGACGGATCTTGATTTGAATTGTTTTGTTATGCTAGCGGAGTCACACGAGCGCCTGTTTGTATCTTATCAGGTGCACCTATTAGATATTGTTTGATAATGCTTTGTTAAATGTTTTGGTAATGAGTAATGTTTTAATGCTGGTCAATGTTTTGATAATCGGGTTTTTCTGATTATGATTTGATTAGGGCCAATTTTGAGGTTGTGACAAGTTGATTTGGAGTTTGTTTTTTTGGTTTGTTTTGTTTTGCTAGCGGGGTGGGGCGGCCGAAGGCCGACCAACTCCGCTAGTTTTATTGAAAATGGAGGAATCTGGGAGGATTAAGCGGTCATATATTTAATTATAAAGATGAGGATCGTTACTATAATTCGAAGAGCAAATTTTGTAATATTTTTTATATTTTTAAATGGGGGCCGTACTATTTGGGGGGCCGTACTAATTGAGGGGGCCGTACTATTTTTCAACCCTCATCTAAAGGGCCGTACTAATAGAGGGGGCCGTACTAATTGAGGGGGCCGTACTATTTGAGGAAATACGGTAAGCTTTATTTACAAACATTATTTTAAAGAAACTAAAAAATATATTTGTAAATAAACTAAAAAAATAAATATATTTAATATTATTTTTCCTCTCAAATATTTGTATTTTTCTCTTGAAAAATTTTTTTATTTTTGTTTGAATAGCTGTCGCGACGTTTTTCTTTTTTTATTATACATACGCTGGCAGATCAAAAGGAAAAAAGAGCGCGAGAGGCTTTTTAAAATGAGGGGATTGAAGCTAGAAAATGAATAAGAAGAAGAGAAGAGAGGAGAGAAAAAGATATGCTCAAAATTTGGCCAAAAATTCTTCTTTTTTTCTTTGCATACTTTAAATTTATCCCCCCCCTCATCACATCTTACATATTTTATAACGAAAATCGTGCGCGCAAATAAAAGAGCTTTTTGAATTGAAAATACTTTGAGGGAATTTTTCTTCTTTTTTTCTTGTCTCCCTTATATTCAATCACTAGTTTAGCCTCTTCGACTGGTCAGAAGAGGCTCTCCTTTTCTCTAAATATTTATTGTGGTTGTGTTGCTAACAAAAATGTGAAGGAATTTATGTATAAAAATAAATAAATAAATAAATAAATGTACACGTATGTGGCTGGCCTTTAAAAAATTGAGGATCGAGAGTAGAGAATAAACAATAAAATATATAAAAGAATATGGGGGAATTGAAAAACAAAAAAAGAATGAAGAAAGAAAGGATTAATCAACAAAAATCAATTTATTTCATTAAAATGATGAAAAAAATGAAATTAATTTATTAAAATCTATAGAAGGGTTTTTAAAGGATTTAAGAAAGAGTTGAGGATATGCCTTCCTCCCCTAATTTGGGAGGAAGGCGGAATAAGCAAAATAAAATCCCCAAAAAAATATTTTTAAATTAATTTTTAAAAATTTAATTCTCCATATTTCAATTCCCAATTTGCAATTATTTTCAGCTCACAAACTTTATCTGTTTGCCACGTCCCAAAATATTTACTACTACATATATTTTGAATAATAATTTTAAGAGAGGAGAGAAAAAAGGGGAAAAAGTGCAAATTAACTGAGAGAATTAGAAACAAATAATTTAATATTTATTTGTTTATATGGAAAGTGTTTAGTGCCGATGGCTGAATTATAGCCATTTAATATACTATTTTTTTTGACTTTATTTCCAAAATTTCTGCAAAAAACCTTACTATAATGTTTTTAAAAAGAAAAAGGAAATAAAAATTTGAAAAATAAAATTTTTTAATTTAAAAAAAAATACTTTTTTAATTAATTAATATTTGAGAATTAAATATATTTTTTTAAATTTTGCAGAAAATGTTTATTTTACTGGAAGTTTTTTTAATTTTACACGTTGAAGAATTAATTTTTTAAAATTAATTAATTAAATTATTTGGAAATTTACATATATTCATGTTAAGAGGAAATAAAAAATTTTTTTTCAAAAATTTTTTAATTTTATTTGTTGGAAAGTTAAATTAATTAATAGAAAAACAAAATATTTTCTTTTAAAACTTTTTTTAATTTTGTTTTCCACGATGTGACAAAAACAAAAAAGAAAAAGCTTTTAAAAATGATAACAAGTAAATAAAGTTTTGATTAAGTTGGCAAAATGTTTTTTTTCTTTTTATTTATTGCAAATTAAAAAAATAAAAATACAAACAAAAAAAGGCAAAATAAAAGCTTTAAAAAAAGGAAAGTGGGAAAGTGTGAAGTATATTTACAGCCATATAAAGAGGGGGGAAGTTGTAAATGAGTGAATATGTTAAAGGTATATTATTGCCGTTAGAAAATGGAATGAAATTGGAGGAGAGGGTCTTTAAAGATTTTCAGTTCCTGGAATCTCCGGATAACCAGAACCGCCAATCCTAAATTGTTCGTATCTAGGTTCAATTTTTGTGTTTATTGGTGGTATTGAAAGGAGGAAATGAAAACAAAATTAATTCTTACAAAATTATTTTTAAAAATATTTAGTATAATATTCGGCAGGACTGAGTACACCACGAAATCCCGACAAATTTGGGTCGGTCGGCATTGGAGGGATTAAGCCAAAATTTTCGGCTTGGAATCCATTCCCGGCTCACTTTTAGATAGTTAATATATTTATGTAACTCCAAAGTTTGAATTAAAGCCTCGGGGTTATAATATGTCTGTAAATCTTGAAAATATAAATTTTGGTGCTTCTACATATTAAAAATATAATAAATGTCAAATTTCTTAAAAAATTCTGACAAAAAATTTTAAATTGATTTCTCTAAAAAACGAACACAAAAATATATTTTTCTCAAAGAAAAGTTTTAAATTTAGAAAAAAATGACAAAACTTCCCACTATGTATAAAATAAGATGAAAAAAAAGAATTGAAAAAATGGTTGAAAATACTAGAAGATATTGGGAGACGTGCGGAGTTGTTGCCGGTCATAAGAAAAAAAATACATAGAATATTAAGAGGAAAGTATATACTAAGTAAGCACACGCTCGCCCGGTTGTCATTGAAAGAAGAAATAAAAGGGGAAGAGCCAGTTGGTTGGCCATAAATTTTCTCTTTGAATGTTTTTTTCTAACAATTTATTTTTTCTCATTTTGGCCAAGCCACAAGGGGCGACCGTCCTCGCGATTATCGGGAAAGGATGGAGGGGGAAGGGGATGCTTATTCATCCAGGCGGATAAAGAAATGAAGGAATGTTGCTATAGAAAAAATAATGTTCTTAAGAGAAAGAGAGAAAGAGGGAAAGAAAATAATGATTAGAAAAGGTTTTCTAGAAAAAAAAATAAAAATATTTTTTAAAATATTTGAATAATATTTAAAAATAAATAAAAGCTTTTTTATTAAATCTAAGTTAATATTTAAAAAAAATAATCCTTAATTGGTTGCTAGGGCAAATGAGAGGGTGTGAATGAGGGATTTATTCTTTCATTCAATTTTAGTTCGTTCGTGCTTATTTTGTCACATACTAACTACTATAAATATTAATTTATTTTTTTACTAAAAAATAGAATGCTTAATTTTGTTCTTTTTCTTTTTTTATCTTCAATTTAATTCTCTAAATATAATGCCAGTTTACCCTCCCTCCCTTCTTTGCCATCTATTTTTTACTTGTCACCATTTTTTCTTTCATTTTTCTGGCAACACTCATTGCCAGTAATGACGTCAATACGAAAGCTTCACGAAGGCTATATCTCTTTTAAATATATACATATCTGCCCTCTTTTTTAGAAAAAAAGATTTACTTATTTTAAGAATTGTAGAGATAGAAAATTAAATTTGGAAAATATGTATTTTTTAAAACATATTTAAATATTTTTTAATTCCCTTTGCTTTATTTGATTAAATTTTATTTTCAACTAATTTTACTACATAGCTGGGTGAACAACTTTTTTTGATAATTTTGATTAAAAAATGCCATTCAAAAAATATATAAAGGAATAAGAGAAAAGAACTGTTACCTATGCACATAATTTGTTTTTAATTTAAGAAAATTTAAAAATTAATTGCCGATCAGTTTAAATTGTCGAACATATTAATTTCTACTTTCTGCTATATTTAAATTATTTAGTTTTGAAAGGAGTCCTGGTCGGAATTAAAATAAAATTTTCATTCAAATATTTTTATACACATATATTTTTATTACATTAATTAACAATATTTACAAATAATTTAACATACATATGTACAAACAGAATAAAGGGTGAATTTTTGTTAAAATAACAGCAACAAAAGGAGAGAATTATTTGTTTCCTAATATTCCTAATTATTGTCTTTATCCTTTTTGGTCCTATTTTGTTGTTCTTAGACAGCCGTTGTCCTTGGCACAGTCGCTTTGGCAGACTGCTGCTTGCCTTGCTGAGCTGTAGCGATGTTGAGGACTCTCGCAGTCTTCATCGGGAAGGGTTCCATATCCACAATCAAGCACTCCATTTTGCCCATCTTTAAAAAAATTAATTTTCTTTTCAAAATTTAATTTTTAATAAAAACAAACATCATCAACATCATGGTTGTGTGGACGTCCATCAGCCTTAGCAACAGAAACAGCGCCGGTCACTGCCTCAACAATAACACGCAGAAGTGCTGGACATTTGTTGTTCTTCCTTTTCTAAATAATTAAAAGATTTTAAACAAAAAATTATTTTTTTATTAAAATCCCCCCACCTTGCAATAGTAGTATTCAACCATTCCTTTTGAATGGGGATGGCGAGAATTGACCTGCCAGTTATATTCTTGTCCTGATTGTTTCCACCAATTGAGGAAGGAATGACGGTTCTTGAATGTACAGAAATCCTTGTATATTGCTTGTGCTTTCCCTTTGCGTTGATGTCCAACAATGTTTTCCACGACGAGTTGTTGACTCGACTCTTGTTGATGACTGCTGCCAGAATTCTGTTGACTGGTAGACTCCTGACTTCCACCAGAATCCATGTTGTTGATATGTCGCTGTTTGTGCTTTAAAAAACAAGTTGAGGTAATTAAAAAAAGCGGTTGAAAACTTACAGATTATGCAATGAGTTGTCGGTCTGGTATAAGTTAAACATTAATATTTTTGGTCTTTTATACTAATAATTTTTAACGAAAAAGGTATATGATCCATAATAATCTTCGCGATCAAATAAAATGTCGCCAATTTTTCCAACCGCCAATTTTAAAGTTTTTAAAACACGCGAAACTCAGAACGCCAAAAAAGAGGACACGGACACTTAGTCGCGGGCCAATTAGTCGCGAAGTAGACAAACTCCCAGAATAGGGAGTTTGTTCGATTGGTCACCGATCACAGTTGCTCAACAACTGGTAAATTTTATAGTGACTTATTTTCCTATACTAGTACCTGGCGCGGATTAGCCGACTTTTGCGGCGCGTACACTTGCGGCTCAGACATTTGCGGCCCAGACACTTGCGGCTCGCCCCTATTTTGACACTTGCGGTCCAGACACTTGCGGCTAAGAAATTTTCGGCGCAGACATTTGCGGCTATCAACTTGAGGCCCAGACACTTGCGGCCCAGACTATTGCGGTTTTGACATTTGAGGCTCCCCTCTATTGTGACACTTGCGGCCCGACATTTGCGGTTTTGACATTTGCGGCCCCGACATTTGCGGCCATGATTAAAAAATTAAGTATATTAAAATAAAAAACCCTAATTTATCGTTCAATTAATATCGGTCAATAGATTTTGATCACAATTCTCAAATTCATAATGAGAGATTTCTCTCAAATTCTTAACTCTTTGATCCTTAACTCGTGTATTAATTACCCTGGGTAATTATTGTTTCATTACTATTGTTCATAATAGATGTATGAAGGTCAGATTCACTTAATACAATTTGAGACGAAATTATTTTTTGATAATAAATAGCATTATTAAAAGAAATCTAGGTATATTTGAGGAATTTTTAGGGAGATATAAGGTTGATATTTAAGGAAATATCACGGGACATAAATGTATTAATCTTAATTACTCAACCCCCCTTCCCCCTCCCTTCACCAATCCTTTTAATTTCTCTTAATTCACATAAATTCCGCGATATCTTCTCCAAATCCTTCTATTCTTTTTATTTATTGATCCTTAAAATGCCCATTATTAAAATTGTACTGATTTTTAATAAATATTTAAAAATTAGCATGGAAAAATAGTGGTAAAATTTAAAAAATTACTTTAAAAAATTAATTAAAATTACTTTTTCATTAAAAAAATTACTTAATATTTTAATCATGGCCGCAAATGTCGGGGCCGCAAATGTCAAAACCGCAAATGTCGGGCCGCAAGTGTCACAATAGAGGGGAGCCTCAAATGTCAAAACCGCAATAGTCTGGGCCGCAAGTGTCTGGGCCTCAAGTTGATAGCCGCAAATGTCTGCGCCGAAAATTTCTTAGCCGCAAGTGTCTGGACCGCAAGTGTCAAAATAGGGGCGAGCCGCAAGTGTCTGGGCCGCAAATGTCTGAGCCGCAAGTGTACGCGCCGCAAAAGTCGCATCACCCCTGGCGCGTTGCCCTTTTCACCAACATTCAACAATTATTTGCTTTTATTAATTCTACTTTCATTTTTAGACTTAAAAGATTTTTTAAATGCAACAAATTGAGATTGAGCCATCTTTTTCTGAAGGAATTATTGCTTGTTGTGAATGTGGTGCTCCAATTGCTCCAAATCCATTAAATATGTGTTTGGGGTGTGTTCGTTCTCGAGTAGATATTTTGGAAGGAATTGTTAAACAAAGTTTTTATTTTTTAAAATTTTAAAAATATTTTCTTTTTTAGTTCAATTAAATTCTTGTCGTAATTGTAGCCGTTATTTAGTTCCTCCAAATGCTTGGATTTATGCTCAATTAGAATCTAAAGAATTAATGTCTATTTGTTTGGGAAGATTAAAAGCAGCTACAACACAACAAAAATTGAGAATTATTGATGCTTCTTTTATTTGGACTGAGCCACATTCTAAAAGATTAAAAGTTAAAGTGACTATACAAAAGGAAGTGTTTGACAAAGCTATACTTCAACAATCTTTTGTTGCTGAATTTGTTATTGCTAATCAGGTTTGTTTTTTTTAATTTTTTTTAAAGTTAAAAATTATGTCGTTGCGAATATTTTAGTTGACTTTAAAATTCCTATTAAAATTTTTGACAGAAATTAGAACAAAAATTAAAGAAAAATTGTTTATTCTCTTTCTTTAGATGTGTGATGACTGTCATCGTCATGAAGCAAAATCGTATTGGCGTGCTTGTGTACAAGTAAATATTTAAATTAATTTTTTTTAAATTTTATAAATACAAAAAGGTTCGTCAACGTTGTGATTACAAAAAAACACTTTTTTATCTTGAACAACTTTTACTTAAAAATGGAGCACACTCGAAATGTAGCAGTATTAAACCTGTTTTGACTGGAATTGATTTTTATTTTCCAAGACAACAAGAAGCACGTAAAATGGTTGATTTTGTTACTGCTGTTTTACCAGCAAAATTTCAACATTCTCAGGTTTCAATTTCAAATCTTTTCGTCAAATTTTTTTTAAATATCAGACATAATTAGACTAAAATTTTAAACCTATGCCAAACTGTCTTACGCACCAAATAGTTCCATGCCCTATCTTAAAGATTGTTTTATATCCTTATTTAAATTTAATTTTTAATTTTTATAGCAACTTGTTACTCACGATGTTCGTAACAATTTTTATGACTACAAACACACTTATTGTGTTGATATTGTTCCAATAATTAAAGATTCTCTTATTTGTTTGCCAAAACATTTGGGACGTCAATTTTCTTCAATTGGTCAATTTGTTGTTTGTTTAAGGGTTACAGAAGTTGTTACTTTAATTAATACACAAACACTTCAATTATTTGAATTAAATTCGTAAATTATTTTTTGTAAATTAATTTTTTATTTAAAGAAATATTTATTGGAAAGAACCTTTTGGAATGCTTATTCAACCAAAAATGTTAACTGAATTTTATGTTCTTGAAGTAGAAGAAATTGAGGATTCTGATCAATTAATTCCCTTAGGGCATATTTCGAAAAGACATAAATTGGCTGATGTTTGGGTTGTTAAAAGGTTTTATTGAAATTAAATAATATAAAAATGATTTTTTAGTGATCAAGTTGGGCAATCAAATGCTAATTCTATTTGTTGTAGAACACACTTGGGGCATTTACTTAATCCTGGAGATTCTGTTATGGGTAAATACATAGTAAAGCAGCTGGGCTATAGCTATTTCTCTCCTTTAGCTAGTGCAAAAGGTTATTCGGCGGCTGGGAGCGAACCAGCATCTTCAGTAGACCGGACTGATGTGTTAGCCATTACACCACGCCGCCTACTGCTCAGCCTTAGGAAATTAATAGCTATATGCTTTACACCTCCATCCCCAGGGAAGACTGTCCCTAGTCTTCTTATCTGCCCTCTTCCCGCTTTTTCTCTCACCTGCGGGGTAGCTTAATCATCGCCTTCTCTGGCGGAATTTCCTTTCTCTAACCCAGGGCCTATGGGATGGATCGTCATTCGTTCAGCGTTCGCTGAACCATCCGGTGCTACCAGTAAAGCTAGTGCTGGGCCAGGATGGTATTGGGATGTTGGGCGGGTTGCGTGCGATGTTAAGGGCCCCGAGAGGCGATGCCGATGAGTATAATGCGGAGCGGAGGGTAGGCCTTTCTATGCGCTTGTATAATGCTGGTCGGTTACGAGACCGACTTTCCCGGGAATAATATGCGCTGATTAATAAGCTCTTTGGCTTCTTCTGCAGGATTAATGAATAAGCTCTCAGCTTCTTCGGCCGGTTATTCACTTCTCTATTGATTACTTTCCAACTGACTGCTGAACAGTCGACTGATCCGCTTTTCACTATTTTCCACTTGGTTTTATCCTAAGGCCTTATTTGTCATTCTCCTCCCCTTATTCAATCCTTTCCCACAGGAACTAAAGTTCCTTTTCTCCATCCTTGCCCATCCGGATCAAAGTCCGCCTTACAACATATTTAAAAATTTATTTGTTTTTAAAGGTTATAATATTTGGCAAAGTAATTTAAATGACCGGATTTTTGATTTAGTAAAAGAAGAAAAAGTGCCTGATGTGGTTAGTAATTTATATAGAAATAAATTTATTTATTTTAATTAAAAGGTTTTGGTTAGAAAAGTTTATGACAGAACAAGAAGAGCACGTAAACGTCAATGGAAATTAAAAAGAATTTTGGATAATGTTGAGACTGAAAGCGTTGAAAGGGAATTTGCTGTAGATTTATTTTTATTTTTTTAAATATTTTACATCAAACCCTGCTATCAATTAATTATCGAAATTTCTATTAAATTTACAAAATTCCATGAATTTATTTAAAATAAAAAAAATATTTTTAAAGGAATTTATGGAAGACGTAGAAGAAGATGCCAAACTTCGAGAAAAAATAAATATTTATAAAAAATCGAGAAAAGGAGGACAACCATCAATTTCAACAATGGATGATGGTGAAAATGATGAAATTGATGGGCCAACATTGGAAGAAATGTTGGAAGATTTAGATATTGATGGGGATGGAAACAATGATATCGATATGGATAATAAATAAATTAAAATATTTGTAATATTTTGTTGAATTTTTTATAAAGAATTTAAAGAGAATAAAAAAAAGTTTTAAAAGAATATTTTTATTATTTTTGTTATTTTCAATTAATTATTTTTTAATATTTTTTTGTCAATATATATTTAATATTTTTAGTTTTTTTTAATTAAAAATGGATTTGGATATTGATACAGAAAAACTTCAAAAATTAACTCCAGAGGAAAGAGACAAGGTTTTAAAAACATTAAAAATATCCAAAGATTCATTTAATTTAAGGCAATAAATACATTACGTCAACAAGCAATTTTGCTTAATCTTCAAAGTTTGGTTTCGGAAGTTGCTGATAAATGTACTCGTAAATGCATTACGGCGCCAGGAACTAGTTTAAGTAGTGGGGAAAAACAAGTTGGAAATACTTTTTTATTTAAAAAATAATAATTTATTTTTAAGTGTCTCCAACGTTGTATGGACCGATTTATTGAAAGCCACAATTTGGTATTGAAAATTGGAAAATAAATGAAAAAAATATTATTTTAATTTAAGGTTTCAAAGACTTGGTTGAATGTGCAATCAACACGCTCAAGTGGCGCAGGAATGATGTTTAATTCAGAATCGCCTTCATTTTCGTAAATTTTTGATTACTTAACAATAAATTGTTCTGAATTTTTAAATAAATTGTTAAAGTTGAGGAAATTAAAAGAAAATAAAACTTAAAATTTTTTTCATACTTTTAATGAGTAAAGGGGATTTCCCTGTTGGTTTGCCACCTCGCCATAAATTATTTTAAAAATGTCATTGTATAGTAAATGTATTTTGGTTATTTAAAAGTTTTCTACATAAAAAAGTAATGTAGCTTAATTAGAATAATTAATCTTTCCTCCCTTAAGTATTCTTTTGTTAAGTATTTCGTTAGTATATTTATTGTAATTGACATTTATTAACACAATTAATTTAGTACAAAATATACATATTTAATTAAAATAAAAATATTTTTCCTAAAGACACTAAATTGAATAAAGAAATTATTACAGAGAAAAAACATTAAATAATAAATTACAAAAAATATATTTTTTTATTTTTCAACAAACATTTTTATTTCTTCGTTTGTTTTTGTAAACATAAATTAATTAATCGCCTAAAAAATAAATAAAAATATATTTGTATATTTTTTTTACCTTAATTGTCCAGATTCATGTAATTCAAAAAGTTCTGTGCCTCCACCAATATATTGTCCACAAACAAAAATATAGGGGAAAGTAATTGCCTTTTTAAATAATTTTTTTAAATTTAAACTAAAATTAAAATTACTCCAGTTAAATATTGTAATTGAATTTGTAATTGTTGTTGCCAAACTTCATTTCCAGAAAGTTCTAAATAATGGGCTCTAACATCTGGGTAATGAATTGCAAGTAAATGTTTTGCTCTTTGACAGGGAATACAATCAGCCAAAGTATATATCATTACTCTTAATTAATTTTGTTTTAAAAGAATTTCCAAAAAAAATTAAATGTTTATTTTCTATGAAAACACGTTCTTATAGAGAGGAATTAATAAATGAGAGAGATATACAGTGCTGGGTGTAAAATGTTTGGGGCTTTGTCTCAGACCACGTTTCTTAACTTTTTCTAGCTTCATTTTAAAAATTAAGTACCAACTCCTGCAACTCCCTAAGTCACGCTTAAAACTGGAGTTATTTAAAGAAAAAACTAACGGATATGTATTTATTTGTTTCTGTAAATAATTTAAATAACTTCCATCAGGCATTCCTCCACTTTGTTGCCCTCCTATATATTGTCCATAACCAGAATATGAAGATCCTTGTTGAAAAGCCTAAAAAAGTAAAAACAAAAGAAATTAAAATTTGCATACTTGTGGTTGTTGATGAAAAGAAATTGAAGGCCCTGAGGGGGAGGAGGAGGAAGAGGAGGGTGTTTGTTGTTGTTGAGAAGAAGAGGAAGAAGAAATACTTTCACTAATTTGTTTATTTTCTATATTTTTATTTATTTGTTGTTGTTGTTGGATTCCACTTCCATAAGAAGAAGTTGGGACAGACCAAGTCTGAAAATCTGGTCCTTCTGGGGACATCCAATAAATACCAACACCTCCCCCTTCTTTGGGAACTTCTCTTTTTTTAACATTTTTGTAAATATTTTCTGTTAAATCCTTTAACAAAAATATAATTTTTAAAAATATTCTCTAAAAAAATTTCTTTGCCTCCTTCGAAACAGCATCCATTGGAACAATTTCAAATTGTGGGGCAAATTGTGTTTTAATAGATTCTTCGTCTATTCGATGATTTTTATTAAAAGTAAAAATTTTTGTAGGTTTTTGTAATAAAAACAATAAAATAATTAGAAAAAATATATTAGACATTTTTCTAAGAAAAATAAATATTTTTTTAAAAATAAATTTAAATAATTAAATATTTATTTAAAAAGACAATCTCTTTTTGAAGGCATTTTTCTATAAAATTTTCTCGAAGATTTTTTTTATTTTGTACGTTTATATTCTTCTTCTTATTTTTCTTCTAGTAAAAAAAATAATTTTTTCTCAATCTTTTCTTTGTCCAAATATCCATTGTTTTATTTATCTACACGCGCAAAAATTCGTTGTTTTAGTTAATTGTTGTTGACAATAAAAAAAGAGAAAATAAAAACAATTGAATATTCTCTCCCTCTTTTTTTTTGTTAAAAATACTTGTAATACTAAATAAAATACAAAAGAAGAGACAAGAAGGAAAAAATTTTTAAAAATAAAAATTTTATTTTATAAAAACAATTAAATTAGACACTAAATATATATCACAAGATAAGTACGAAACTCGATCAGTTTTTGAAAATCTGATCTGTAACTCGAATCATTTCCGTATATACGTATTAGAGAGAAAGATTAATTCTGGCTTCTTGTCTATCTGAAATTCTCAAAATTTTGTCTGTTATTAGGTGGGGGAGGCGGGGGGGGGTTAACTGAAGAAAAATGGCAACTCTAACAACTTACAAACAAAAATATTTTTTTTTCAAAATTTTAGACTAAATAATTACAACGCGATATAAAATGTAAAAATCTAACATTTTATCAAACATTTTACTAAATCCCAAAAAATAATTTGTTTTAAACTAAATAAGATTTGATTTATTAAACATTTAAACTTTATATGAAAATTGTTTTTATTTGTTTAATAAAACACAAAATAATTCTTTTTTCTTTCCACCCATAACAAATTTAAATCAAAGACAACCAATAATCCAAAATTTAAAACACATTGGATGCCATATAATAATTTAATTTTTATTTATTTTCCAAGGTCGATCTTCTACCGAACCTACTTCCAAGAATCTCTTTATTATAAAGTTTACACTTGCAGGGCAAGTATTTCGTACGCTACGAGCAATATCCGCTTCTTTCATCTTATCATAAAAATACATTTTAATTATTTTAGCTCTCTTCTTTCTCTCCTTTAAATTATTTTATATTATCAAAATAACTACTTAATTACCTCATCATCAATTGTTCTTGTTTTAGAAAACCCTTTATTTTCCATATTTTCATATTTAAATATATCAACACCAGAATATAAAAGATTTTCCTCAATTGACAAAACTTTCACAGTTTCTAAATCTACTTTATCTTCAATATATTCATTGATTATTTTAAAAAATTTTCCTTCAACAATTTCTTCATTAATCATATTTATTTTTAAACAATTATTTAAATTATTTACACATTTTTTAATTTTAGTTAAAATTATTTTTATTTGTTTTTCATATTTATAATTAAAATATCCCAATTTTTGTGATAACGGTTTGTATAATTCCAAAAAAACTCGAAAAATTAATAAAATATTTAAACGACTAAAAATAATATTTTTGGACGAAGTGTCATCATCTTCACTCAATTCAACTGAAAAATTACTAATATTTATAATTAATTTAAAAATTATTAAAAGGCTAGCACAATAGTATATACTCTATTAATTACCCTCCCTCAAATAATTACCCCTCCTCTATTAGTTACCCCTTCCAACGAAAGGTTGAAACACTAATTACTCTCTTAAAATTAGTTATAATAAGCCTTCCTAAAATAACCTCTATTAATTACCCCGCCTCTATCAATTACCCTCTCCAGAGAGATCGAAACAATAATTACCCAGGGTAATCAATAGAGTAATTAATTGAGTTTTTATATATTAATTTACCTACCTAAATCTAATATTTTATTACTTTCTTCCTCCAAAATTTCAAATAAATTTTTTTCTTCATTTTCATTTATTGCATTAAATTTATTATATTTTTCTTTCAATATATTTAATATTTTTAAATTATTTGTATTATTTTTTTGATAAAAAAAACGTATAATATTATAATATCTTTCATTAAAATAAAGTGTTGTTACTTTAATAATATTTACAATTTCCACAAAAAGCCAATTTACTTCTCTAACACCCAAACGGAAAATAAATTTTTCTAAAAATTTAAATTTTTAAAATTTCTTCTAAAATAAATTAGAATCAAGGTCTCCATGTCTTTTTTAACTCGTCTTTTATGAACACAAAATCCAAAACTTGCGAATTTTTAAAAACCTGACTAGAAACTCTGATTTTTCCCTCATGGAATGCTAATTTGAAACGTATAGTTCCAATTTTTCGATCTTCTCGTAGGGTGTGCTTCAATTAGAGACTGCTTTTATTTTTCAATCTTTTTCAATTTTTTAAAGAAAATTTGGCGCCTGCCTAATTTATGCGTTCTGTGAACTTTTATTTTTACTTTTTTTTTAAATTGGACCATGAATTTAATAAAAGTTCATTAAAACTAGAACAGAGCCGAAAAGTCCCCGGAAACCTATTCAGACAAATAATATGTCATTCGAAAGAGCACAGCGAGCTGAGTCAAACGACACCAAAATTAGGCCCACTCATCTATGGACCGAAATAGAAGCCGCTGAAAACTGAAAAACCACCGGGGGACCAAGCTGATTTTTGGGGTAAGAAATTCGATTAAACGAATGTTAGCTCCTTCGAATACCAGCAGTTGGTATCGGTTTCAGGTCCGGTATAATTATTTCCAAACCCCGATTCTGATTTTATTTGATACCGGACAACTCTACTACATATGAACTACATAAATGTAGACGTTAAAAATGATGATGTGCTTTTTAGCGGTATACTAGGGGCGACTTTTATTGGAAATTGTGCTTTTATTTTTCGATTCTCTCGTAGGGTGTGCTTCTATTAGGGAATCTAAAACCTTTTAATATTATATTATAATTTTCTTTTATTTCAGATTTTAAAATTAATTTTTTGTCAAAATATTCTCCTGGCATTTTTTCCATTAAATAAAATTTTCTTAATTTTAAATTAATTTCCTGCCATATATTTTCTTTTTTTATTTTATTATAAAAATTTATTTTTTCATTAATTTGTTCTATCTGATTTTCTTTTATATTTAATTTTGTTGGAATATAATTTGGTAAAATTGATATTTTATATTCTCCATCAATATATTCATAATTATTTATTGAAAATAAATTTCGACAAATTTTCTTAAAAAACATTTTTAAAAGTGCCGAAGGGGAAATTTTTTGGCCTTGTCCATACACTATATAAAAAATAAATTCCCTATTTCGGAAATTTTATTGGTACAATAATGGGAGTGAGATTAGAACAAGTTCAGACAATGAAAAAATTAAAACATTACTGTGTGGCAAAAGCTTCAAAAAATCTTGACTCAAGATTTATGAGGTTCTTTCGGTTTTGGATATTGAAAAATAGAAGTATATATGTACATGTATGGTAATTAATTAATTAAAAATATATTTATTAAATAAAATACATATTTACTTGATTTTTAGCTAAAGGAATTATTTCTAACAAAATTGGATTATTTAAAATTTCAATACAAAATTCAGCATTTAAATATTTTTCATTTTTTCCAATAATTTCTCCTTTTTTATTAAAAATATGAAGATTTCTTTTAATATTTTCAAATAAATATTTTTTATTTTTTTCTAATTCAATTCCTTCTTTTTTAATATTTTCTTCTTCAAATTTATATAAAATAAAACATTTAAAATTTTGTTGATTAAAATTTAAATGGGAATTAAATGAACGATTTTGAAGATAATTTTCATTAATTTCCAATTTAATATCAATTGACAAACAAAAAGAAGAAATAAATAAATTTAATAAAAATTGTTTAATCATTTTAAATAAATAAATATTCTTTTAAATTTTAATAATTTATTTAATAATTAATTTGACTGGCTAAACTTTCGTTCATAAACACGTCGAAAAACATGTTTTTCTAAAGTAATAAAATGATCGAGTCCAAATATCACAATAAAAGTGCTTCGGCAAGTATATTTTTCTAGGATTTTCAGACCTCTGGAAATTAAAATTTCAATACAAAATTCAGCATATTCTCATTTAATTATAAACCATGAAAATTTTAGGTTGTAGGTTCGGACCCGCGTGGGAAACACTTTTATTGTGATATTTGAATTCAACACATTTTATTACATTAGAAAAACATATTTCTCGATGTGTTTATGAGCGAAGGCCTTACCATTAATTTAATATATAAATAATTTCGTTAATGTTTAAATTTCCATGTAATTTTTAAAATTAAAAATTTAATTATTTTTTTAAATTAAAATTAATAAATTAAAATAAATAAAAATTAAAATTAATTTTATTCTCACTTAATTTTAAAAATTTTAATATTAAATAAAGAGAAATAAAAAAAAATTATCAAATGATTTTTAAATTAAGCATTCAATCAATTTTGCAATGTTGGCAAGTAATATAAATTAATGCACTTTTATTTTTAATCTACTGTATTTCTCTAAATAACTTCATAAGGGGGGGGGGCTATTTTTTAGATTCGGTTCGGTTTGAAACGGGAAGATATTGGGTATTTTTTCTTTTCCTTCATCCTCCGAGTATTTTATATGTCTTATTATTTTTTAGAAAACTGGGAACGGGAAACGGAAAATTGTAGTAGAAGAAACACGGTCGGGACCATGGATGGTCAAAATAAAAAATTTTTTAATTCGAATCGAAACAAAATAAAAATTAAAATGTCAAGATCAAGGCTGAGCGTCATGGAAATTGGCGTCCATTTTTGGCCGATTTTTGGTGTTTTGCGTTTGGCTTGTTTTAAAAATTTGAAATATTGGCATTTGCTTTTTGGCATTGCGCGCGATGTTTTGAGCTTTTTTGGTTGTGTCGATATTTTAAGAATTCGGTGTTTTGTATAGGAGCCAATTGTGGATGAGGGGCAACTCATGGAATTCCAAATCTCGGAACAGACATGTTAAGGTTTTATTAAATCACAGAACAATCAAATCACGGCCAATTATCACAATAGTGAAAAAAATATGCATTGAAAAAGTGCATATTTTTTCTTGGACCGTGAGTTGGTCGTTCCATGATTTGGTAAGACCCTGACTTGTCCAACATTGATTTGCCGTTCCTTGACTTGTCTGTTCCTTGAATTAGCCTGACACGGTTATTTTATCTTTTTTTAAATTTATTTTTAGATATTTAATTTTTAAAATTTAATAATGAGTGGTGGTATTTATGGGGGAGGTTTGTGTCTTTTTTTTTTGTTATTTTTTATATTAATTTTAGATGATGTTGGGGCTATTGTTTTTGATTCTGGTTCACATAGGTTTTTTTAAATTGGCTCTTTTAAAATTATATTTAATTTAGTTTTCGAGTTGGCTTTGGAGGAGAGGAAATTCCGAAGGTTTAAATTAAATTTTAATGTAAATGTGCTGTAGGGAAAGCTAATTTTGGAGAAATAAATAGTTTAACCCTTTAGAAGTGGTTTACGCTGAACCGAAGAAGCGAGGATCTTTTGTTTCGTTTTGGATATTCGAAAATTTCGTATCTCGGTTCAGTAAGTTTTTTGAATATCAGAGGATTTTTCAAGAAATTCTAAAATATTTTTATAATTTTTCTAAATTTTTTTACATTATCAAAAATGATGGAAACTAAATTAAAAAATTTTTTAATTTTTCTTAAAAATTTAATTCAAGTTTGAAATTCCTGCTCGTGTCGGTGTTCGTGAAGTAATTGAATCAGCTACGGATGAAACAATTGAAGAAGTAGCCTCTGGAAGAAAAGGAAATAATACAACAAAAAAGAAATTTGAATATTTTATTGGAACTTCTCAAATAAATGTTCCGAGAAATGAAACAGAAATTGTCTCTTATATGAATGATGGAATGAGTTCGATATTTTTTCGAAATTAATTTTAAATATTTTTTTCTAGTTGAAGATTGGGATATTTTTGAAAAAGTTTTGGATTTTATTTATGACAAATGTTTAATGGCAGGTTTGGTTTATTTAAAATTTATATTGAAATTTTGTTAATTTTTCGGACTCGTGGTTCCGACAAAAAAATAAATTTGTCAAGAAAGCGGAGAAAAGAAAATTACCCTAGAAAATATTTTTACAGGATTTTTAAATTTATTTTTCGTTGGGACCACAAAACCGAAGGATTGCCTAAATTTTCTAAAAATTATTTTTGATTGTTGACTGGCAAATAAAATTATCTTTTGCTCAACTTTCTCAACATCTTTCATTAAAATAATTTAATTAGTAATTATTTTTATTTTTTAAAGAAAGTCAACATCATTCTGCGCTTTTTACAGAACCGCCGGTTATAATTTTAAAAATTTAATAAATTAAAAAATATGTATTTATTTAGTGGAACAAAAAAGATAAAAGAGAAAAATTGGCAGAATTAATATTTGAAAAATATAATGTTCCGGCATTTTATTTATTTAAAAATGCAGCTTTGGCAGCGTAAATAATTTTTAATTTTTTTAATTAAAAATTTGTTTAAAGTTTTGCGAGTGGAAGAACTGCTGGTTTAGTTGTTGATAGTGGGGCAACACATACTTCTGCAATTCCAGTTTATGATGGACATTGTATTACTAACGGTTTTTAATTTAAAAAATATTTAATTAATTATTTTAAAAAATTAAAGCTGTTGTTCGTTCACCCGTTGGAGGGGATTTTTTGGTAGAACAATGCAGAAAAATGTTGATAAAAGAAAATGTTGAATTAGTTCCTTACTACAAAGTTGCTTCGAAGGTTTAAAAAATATTTTTTAATAAAATTGGATTTAACTATAAGAGGATACTCTTACAATTTTTACTGAAAGGCCTTACCTGAGAAATATATTTTACATAGCTCTCTCCTCTCTCCCAATAACCAAACCGAATTTAAAAAGTATTTTAAATTGTTTTTAATTCTGGCAAATATTTTATAAAAATAATAAAAATAATTTTTTTATAGAAAGAAGTAAAAGAAGGCGAAGAACCCATTTGGACTTCACGTAAACTTCCTCCACTAATAACAAAAAGTTATGAAAAATTTATGGAAGATGTTTGTTGTTTTTTATTTTTAAATTAAAAAATAATTTTTTTTAAGCAATTAGTTGAAGATTTAATTCACTCAACAATGCAACTTTGTGAAACGCCTTTGGATGTTGAATTTATGGATAAATTGCCTGCTGTTAGTTTTGGATTTCCATGTAAATATTTTTTTAAATAAATTATTTTGATTTTTAATTTTAATTAGGTGGGTATTTGAGAGATTTTCATGCAGAAAGGGCAAAAATTCCAGAAGCTCTTTTTGATTTAAAACACGCAGATTTAAGTGAAGAAGAGCGAGCTTCACTAATAAATGTTGCACAAATTGCTTTAATGTCTTGTGGAATGTGTGATGTTGAAATACGTCCAGTAAGGAATTTTTAATTTAATAGTAGATATTCTTCTTTTATTTAAGTCATTGTATAGCAATTTAATGGTTACTGGTGGAAATTCTCTTATAATGGGATTTACAGACAGATTAAATCACGATTTAGCTCAGAAATGTTTGAGTGTAAGTTTTTCTTAATTTTGAAGAAATATCCTTAAACTTTAGACACAAAAAATTCGAGTCTCCTCTGCGCCAACAACAGCTGAAAGACGTTTTGGGGCTTGGATAGGGGGATCAATCGTCTCGTCACTGGGAACATTTCAACAGTTGTGGATTTCAAAAGGAGAATATGAGGAAAGTGGCCGTCAAATTGTTGAAAGGAAATGCCCATAAATTTTTGAATTTTCTCCTATTTATTTGTAAATTATTTTTTATTTGTAATCTCAAAATAAACTTTCTTTTACATTAGACAAAAATTGATAGAAATATTTTTAAAATAATTACAAAAAATATATAATAACACAAATGATTGAAAGAAAAGATAGAGAATATTTTAAATATTTTAATTATTATTTAGTAATTATTTTCAAATTCTCACATAAAGATATCAGAATTCCAAAAACTCGCTAAAAAATTAAAGGTCGCTTTAAGGTAAACAAAAGAAAGAAGGAAAAATAGCAAAGGAAACAATTTTTAACAAAAAATAGTTAAACAATTTCTGCTGGGCGAGTTGGCTGTCCATTTTGAGGGACAGTTGGTTTTGCCTGTTGTTGTCTCTTCAACATCTAAAATATATTTTAAATTTATTTTTCAAAATTAAAAAAAACAAACAGAAAAGAATGCCCATTTTGTAAAATAATTTGTCATTTCTTGTGTATTATTCCATTTACAACGCAAATATCCATATAAATTAGTTAATGTCATTCCAGCCCCAATTGTTGCAATCATCATCCATTGCCATTGTAATGTGAGAAAAGCAGTACATACTAAAAGAACCCAAAAAAGTGGTACTGTGACTAGAGCAGCCCAAAATATTTGTCGTTCAAATGGATCATATTTATCTGGCTGCTAAAAATTAAGAGGTTTTCTTTCCGTATTAAATTTAGAATTTAACGCTAACCAGAACAAATGTTCAAAATTAGAAATAAACTTTTCCTCAATAATTAGACAAAAACCTGAGTAATTTCAAATCGCCAATGGTTTTTCCCTTCAGAATCAACCAAATTCCACCAACGATGGCCAACAAGATATCTTCCAGTTATATTCTTGACAGTCCAAAGGTCAACGGAATGAAAGAATAACTAAAGAAAATAATTTTTAAAAATAAAATACAAAATTTACCAAAACTAAGAATTGGATTATAAAAGAAGTCGAGAAGAAATTTGCGAGAACATAAAAAACAATTGCCCCAAAACGAAAGCCCAAATGAGCCAAAACAATGAATGGATGCCTAAACAAACAAATTTACAAAAAATTTTAAGATTTCCATACTTCAAAGAGCCAACAAGCGGTCGAGATTCTCCAAAATCCATTTTAGCGTCAAAATTATGGGCCATACAAAAGAAAATAAAAATCTTAAATTATTTAAAAATTTTGTCAATTTAACCAATAAGATAAAGAAGTAACTTTTAAGTAAAATATGTATATCCTTCAACCCATTTAATTTTTTATTCAAGAGCTAATAAAAGTTAAATTATAGACAGAAAATTACATAAATAAGTTGAAAATTAAAATGAATACATTTTCGCTCATTTCCTTCAGATGATAAATACAACCAAAGACAGTTTTTACCTTAGAGGATGATACATAATGGGTATTTAAAAAGAAAAATAATAATAGCAAAGACAGATTTTTAAAAATACGTACTGATGTTTTTTCGATATCTTTAAATAATAAATTATTTGATTCTTAATAATTTTAAAATAAAGAATATTTTTAGATATTTCATCTTAAATCTACTTAAAAATATTCATATTAAAATGTTTATTATTTACTATTAAAAACATCAAAATCGCGCTTAGCATTCGAATCAAACAATATTTTCTGTAGTTAAAAGTCGAACTTCAGCATCCAATATATATTTGTTCAATCCATGTGTGCCAATTGCTCCATTCAATGAAGTCAAAAACGAACTTTCAGAGACTGGTCGGTTTCGTGCCGCTTCAAATAGGAATGCCTTACTCCACGGGCAGAGTTTTTGACCAACCGCAAATACCTTTAAAATAGAATTATTAGGAGATATTTGAATGATTCATAAATGGCTTCGAAAACAATATCATTCTCCCTTTAATATTCGAAACGAGTTGAGCAATTAAAATTCAAAGTATCTATCAGTTACCTCATCAATTTTTTCAAAAGAAATGCTTTCTCTCCCATCAATCATTATTTTCATCAAAATGAACCAAATATAATCATCAGGAATTAGATTATCACTAAAAAAATAAAAACACGAAATGAAAATAATTATTAAATCAATTTACCTATGTTTTTCTGCAATTTGTTTACATATACCAATAAAACGTTTAAACATTGTTGTAACATCCTT